CAGGGATGGGGCATCCACAACCTCTCTGGGCAACCTGTTCCAGTGCCTCACTGCCCTCATAGTAAGGAATATCTCCCTTTAATCTAAATCAACCCTCCTTCAGCTTAAACCCATTACCCCTTCTCCTGTCACCACCTGTCCCTGTAAACAGTCCCTGACCATCCTTCCTGTAGGCCCCTTCAGGCACTGGTAAGCCGCAATTAGATCTCCCCAGAGCCTTCTCTTGTCCAGGCTGAACAATCCCAACTCTCTCAGCATATCCTCATAGCAGAGGTGCTCCAGCCCTCTGATCAGCTTCATGGGCCTCCTCTGGGCTCTCTCCAACAGCTCCACGTCTCTCAGACTGTCTCCCTGGCCAAAGGGATATTCCCTACCATATAGCACCATGCTCTGCATGGAACTGGGGAAGCTAGCTGGGAAGTGGGATCCCTGCTTGGAAACAGGCTGGGGATCGGGTGTTGTCTTCCACAGGTGGTGAGCAATTGCATTTGTGCATCACTTGCTTTCTATATTATTATTATTATTCTCTTCCTTTTTTGTCCTATTAAACTGTCTTTATGTCAATCCATGAGGTTTTTTTCCATTCCCCTCCCCATCCCACTGCGGGGCAGAGAGTGAGCAAGCGGTTGTGTGGTGCTTAGTTACCGGCTGGGGTTAAACCCCAACACATGTGTGTTAAATCCAGGGTAGCTGTTATGTCCATTCTCAAAATATGGACATTTTTTCAGAAAAGTTTCAAAAGCCACCATAGACTTGGAGAAGTATTTCCATTTTACATGGCAAAATCTAATACACTAAATCCATCAATTTACATGGCCTTTGGTAGGCTAATTCTTCTTTCTGCAAATGCTGTAAAGCAATGGAAGGACTTTTCCCCCTCATCAAATACAAATCAAGCTGTTTACAGCTAGAAGGGGAGAGTGAAAATTAGCAAAAAAAAAAAAAAGCAAAACCTAAACCCCAAATCGGATAAGTGGATCCCTCATTAAGATGAAAACATCAATCAGTATCTACAAACTAGTGTGTACAGCAGACCAGCTGTGAGCCTGAATTATTTTCATCCATTAAATTGATGCTTAACATATCGAACCTGCCACCCACCCCACAATATGAAAGCTTGCTCCTGAGCATGTTAATCCCAGTAAGGCCAAAACATTCAGCAGAAAAGGCCTTAAAGATTAAGACTGTTCTTCAAAAGCCTTATTGATATATCCAGTGACTGCTGAGATGCATGGCTGCAAGTCTTAGAAGACTACATTATGCTAATACTGCTGTTAGGTGTTCCCTTCCAGCACTATGAATGGCAAACAGCCTCAAATGGCCTCTGTTCCTAACTCTGAGGGGGTTTATAGATGTTTTATACAAATAAAGAATCTCTTTGATTTACGTTCATAGATCTGAGTCACTCTTCTTAAACAGTAATAAATGACAGACTTCTACTTAATCTGATAGTTATTAACTAGTGAGTTAATGTGGCTGGTTCTGTAGGTTTGATAACTTTTGGTCCTTGAAAAAAACATCAGACAAAGCAGATACACTGCACAAGTTCACAAAAATTTAGTACTTTCACTGTCAGTACTACTATTACTACCAAATTCTGCACACATTTGCTTTGAACACTAAGCACGAAGATGACGAGGTAGACCTATTTAATAACTGAATGCAGATTAAAACCCCAGAGCATCTGACAGCAATTCTGGACCCAGACCATTGAGGAAAACATTTTGTATTTCCTGGCCCAATCTAGAACAGTTATCTTTCTACCCTCAGAGTTCAATGTGCAGCAGTGAACTCTTCACCGCCCTTTTGTAGCTAACCACCCATTTAAAGCTCAACTTGTCAGACAGGACTTTCTGCATGAGCAGAGATAGAGGCTCGTGGTGTGATTTACCGCTGCAAACCAAGATAAGCTGCACTGTCACCAAAAAAAAAAAAAGATAACTAGCTTAATAAGCATTGCTGTTTTGTTGCTTATTTATATATAAGACAATGCACAGGAAGATGATGTCTGCATGCCAGATGAATAGCTCGAAGTTCCAACACACTTTCCCTCTTCAAGATTGGGAACTCCTGGGTTTTACAGTGTTCCCAGGGCATTCCCCACTGCAGGTGGGGGCCATCCTGCTATTAGTTAATGAAGCAATTACTCTCTCTTTACATATTTGCTTCTAATAAATACCACGGATTTAATTACAAAGGCATCTTGTGAAATGAGGGAGATGCAGTAAGATTCTGGTAACTTTTCAGTTCTCAAAATATGAATGGAGAGTGGGAACACGCTTCAGCTACATTTTATAGACGTTTGAGACTGATAGTTGAAGAGGTATGTCACATGTAGAATTGGTCCTGGAGAACGTAAATCCATGTTCATATGAGATTTAGCAAGGCAGCTACAAACTACACCACCTATACTGGTGAAATGATGCAGAATTACATGATACAACAGCACCTCTTCAGCACTGTAGGTCTTGAGTCATAGCAGATGTTCAAGGAAGGAATGAATATTTGCAGGTCCTGTAAAGACAGTGCCATAGCTAAAGTACTTTTGCTGTCTTTGGTGAGCTGTAATGATTACCAAAGTACTTGATGAACAACACTTAGCATGTCTAAAAGACTGAAAGTCTTTAAACAAGAGAAGACTTCTCCTGCAAAGAGATGCTCTGTGAATTTATATTACTTTCCATATGACAGAAAAAAATTCAGTATGGAAATGAAAAATCTAAGCCCATCTCAGCAGTCTAAGATCAGTTAAAAAAACAGGAATCAACTTGAATCTGGACTGTGATGTCAACTTAAAATGGCTATGGTGGCAATTGGCTCTGCTTTCTTTACTTCCTCCCTTTGCATATTTGTACACATCGTTGAGATGCCCCCTGAGCCTTCTCTTCTCCAGGCTAAACAGTCCCAGTTTCAGCCTCTCCTCAGATGAGAGATGCTCCAGTCCCTTAGCTATCTTTATGGCCCTTTGCTAGACACACTAGCAAATAGTGTGTCTTCATACTAGGAAGCACAGAACTGGATACAGCACTCCATGGGCAGCTGCACCAGTGCTGAATAAAAGGGAAGGATCACCTCCCTCAACCTGCTGGCAATGCTTCGTCTAATGCAGCCCAGGATGCAATTAGCCTTCTTTGCTGCAAGGGCACTCTGATGGCTCATGGTCAACTTGGTGCCCACCAGGACCCCCACGTCCCTTTCTGCAAAGATGCTTTCCAGATGGCTGGCCTCCAGCACATATTGGTGTATGGGGTTGTTTCTCCCCAGGTGCAGAACTTTGCACTTGCCCTCACTGAACTGTGTGAAGTTCCTGTCAGTCCATTTCTCCAGCCTGCTGAGGTCCCTCTGGGTAGCAGCATGATGCTTTGGCATATCAACCACTCCTCCCAGTTTTGTGTCATCAGCAAACCTGCTGAGGGTGCACTCTGCCTCATCATCCAGATCAGTAATGAAGATGTTGAGCAGGATTGGACTCAGTATTGATACGTGGGGTACACCTCTGTTTACTGGCCTTCAACTACATTTTGCACCACTGATCATCACCCTCTAGGCCCAGCTGTTCAGCCAGTTTTCAAACCACTTCACTGTCTGCTCATCCAGCCCATAGTTGACCAGCTTCTTTGTGAGGATCTTATGGGCGGCAGTGCCAAAAGCCTTACCAAAGTCTAGGCAGACAATATCCACTGTTCTCTCTTCATCTCCCAAGCCAGAGTCATTTCATCATAGGTTATATGGGTTGGTTGAGCATGACTTCCCCTTTGTGAATCCATGCTGGCTACTCCCAATCACCTTGTCTTTCATGGACCGGGGAATAGCTTTCCAAGATTAGTTGATCCATCACCTTCTTGGGGACTGAGGTAAAGTTGACCAGCCTTTAGTTCCCTGGGTCCTCCCTTCTTGCCCTTTTTGAAGGTAGGAGTGATCTAAGGGTGATGCCATTCATCTTGTGCATTAGCTATGGTGCCCAACAATACTCATTTAAACCATAGCCTTTTAAGCTACTACACTTCTGTAAGGCATGCAGCTGTTACATGCAGATTTACACAAGCAAAGAGAAAGACAATACTCATTTAAACCATAGCCTTTTAAGCTACTACACTTCTGTAAGGCATGCAGCTGTTACATGCAGAAGATTTACACAAGCAGAGAGAAAGAAATTGGGCTTAATTCCTTCATTCTAACAGTCTCCAAAATTTTAAAACAGTGCCAGATTCACCTTGCTGAAAGTTCAGGACTGGCTACTTCTGTTCATGCAACTGTTGCTGCAGAGTCCTCCTGTGCTATGAGAATTCTTGTCTCTCAAGAACAACAGGATAAAGCAGATAGTACTTCATCCATAAATACTACATAACTTGCTGATTTATTCGTTTCACGAGCTAATAAATGTTTCATGAAATTTTCCTTCTTTCAAAAAAAAAAAAAGGAAAAAAAGAAGCCATACTAAAACAAAAAACCCCATTACCAATTCAGCAAACTCAGAAAGTCAACATCTATGAACATTTATGACTGTCTCCTCCTGCACCCATTCTGGTCCCGGCCTCTCTTCCCTTTAAAGGTTTCTAAAATCAAACCATTTTTTTTTTGCACTAAAAGAAAAACACCTTTGTAAAGAGGTTTTCTGAAACTCCCTTAGTTTTCAAAACATGAAGACGAGGCTGATGTTTTCTTTAGTCACTAACACAGCATTTGAAACTTTTACAAGTATTTTATAAAAAAGAAAATCACACTGGATATCTCCCTGAAAGATATGCTTTTGTTGACAATTTGAAAGAATAGTAGGAAGGTAAGAAAGGCTGTCCAGTTTCAGATGATGCATGAAATCTGGTGATGTAACAGTTGCCTCTGATCTAAAAATGATGGCTACACAAGTCTAGCTATCCTTAGTATCTCTGGAGATTCAGCTTGTAAAAAAACTTCTAATGCAGTGTATCAGAATTATCCTGACTTCAAGGAAAAAGCTGCAAATGGGCTCTGCATGCTACTTCTGAAACAAAAAGCTCAGTAAAGCCCACAGGTCCATTCATACATCTGAGTCTCCAGACTTCCTCTTTCCTAGAGGCTCTAGATTGTTCTGAGATAAAAATAAAGGTCACTTTTTTTGGCATATTGAATACAGAGACAGGTAAAACACTGCCAAAAGTGATGGCAAGAAACTACCTCATCCTATCAACCAATATGGATGGACTAGACAACCTCGGAAAACTATCCCAGTAGTAGTTCCTAAGTTAGAGTTGTACTGAAAATCA